TTGTTCCTATCAAAGTAACAGAAAGACTCTAATTAATGTCACAATGACTCCCAACATCATCATTGGTTTTTCCTCCCATTATTGCATTGTTACCTCTGGTATTATCCCAAGGATCCATTTTTGGCCAATTCCTATTTCTCATCTACATGCTGCCTCTTGAACACATCATCCAAAAAACACTATGTCAGTTTATACACGTACATCTGATGACACCCAACTTTATTTAACCTCACCTCAACTGGACCCTTCAATTGTCAAAATACCTGTTTGATGTCCAATGCTGATTAACAGAAATTTTCTGCAATTAAAATCATAGTCTTTAGTGCCCACCACAGCTCTGTTCCCTTGCTAACTATTCCATCCTCTACCTGGCAATTGTCTGATGCTACCCCAGACTATTAACAGCTTTGGTACCATATTTGACGTGAAGTGAGCTTTTATGGGGTTGACTGTGCTATATGATGCCAAAAAGAGGCTATTCAGCCCAATCAATCCATTTCCAGCCTCTGAAGGACCCCTGAGGGAGAAAAAAGCAGAAACTGTAGGGATCTACAATTAAGTTGGTAATTGAAGGCACTTAGAAAATCTGAGAATAATTAAGCAGAGTCAAAATGGTTTTGTGAAAAGGATTAACTTTTTGGAATTCTTTGAGTAAGTAATAAGCAATTTTGTTAAAGAGGAACCAGGGTTCTTTATGTACATTTCCAGAAGATATTTGAGGAGGTACCACATCTGAGGTTACCATGCAAAATAAGAGCTCATGGTGTAGTGAGTACTATATTAGCATGAATAGGGAATTGGTTGCTAATAGAAAGAAGAAGGTGGGTGTAAATGCATTGTTTTTGAGTAGTCAGGATATAATGAATGGTGTGCCAATTATGTGGGTCTTAATTATTTGCAATCTATATACAATACTTGGATGGAGTATTGTATGGATGTTAAATTTCCTGATTGTACAAAGATAAGTAAGAAAGTAAGCTGTGAAAAGAACATAAGCAGTCTGCAAATATAGTTTTAATGAATGGAACAAAAAAGCACATGCAGTATATTGTGGGAAAATGTAACCTTGTTTACTTTGGCAGGAAGAATAAAAGAGCAACATATTATTTCAAATGGAGATTGGACAGGCTAGTTCTGCATCTTTTGGCATTTTCAAGAGTCAGGGGTGTCCTTATTGAAGCATATAAGATCCTGAGTGCACTTGAAAAGTTGGATATTTAAAGGATGATGCCCCGTCTGGGAGAGTCTCGAACTATAATTGGCAGATGTGAAATGTTTATTTTCCTAACAATCACTCCTCATTGTCTACCTGAGTTCACAGCTGAAGTTACAACTATGACCAAGACTGTTACAACCTTCCTGAAACACAGTAAACTCATCAGAGAAGATACATTTGTGCGTACTCTTTTCCTCCTTTTAAAAACATTGTGAAGCCATAGCAACTCCTGATTTAAAAACTGGGGTTTTACAAGGGTTAAAGGACAGACCCAATCTTACAAAGCAAAAATCGAACAAAGCATGAAAAACACTGAAAAAGGAAGTTTTCTATATTAATTGAGCTTTAACTGTGTACAGATGTTGGTCATTGCTGCCATTTTGCTTTTATCAAAACAAGTGAAAACAAGGTGCATATGACATCACTAATCTCTCATTTTCTACCATGAATCCCACCCACAGGCATAAGGCAACTACTTTCAACATAACAGCATGAAAAAAAGAGACAAACAATAAAAAAAATCACAATGCAATTCAAAAGGACCACAATACAGATTTTTATAATGGCATTTTAAAGAGCACAGTAAAAATAGAAAGCCAAGATCTTAACATGGTTTGGCATTCCATTGACATTCTTACAGAATTTTAGTTACTTAGAAAAAGAATTAATCCTGACTGCCTGGATCATCAAATAGGTGATGTAGAAAGACTCCTTATTGCTTTTGAAAACAAGGGATTACGATGGGTCAAATCCTCCAAACTTTCCATTGCCGACTCCAAAGATTCTGACATCCAGATTTTGTCCAGATTTTAGAAGGCCAACTTAAAGTATAAGTCAACTTTGGGATACAGAAGCTTGAGCTCATATCATACCAACTACAGCCGGGTGAAATAATTGACCATTTCATAGGCAAGAACAGAATGTGATTTCACTGTAACCAAGTTAGCTGAATGACTTATAAAAATTATTATGCGCCAAATCACATTAAATTCTTCACAAAAGCACTTATAGACGAATTCAAAGAATATATAAATCACACACTGCTAGGAGAATTCAAGTTCAACAACTTTATGGCAGGTCAGCAACATCTTCTGATGCTCAACTTGACAATATCTGTTTCAGTTATCAACAGGGTTCAGCAAAACATCTAAATCTAAATATAAGTTACGGCTTGTCTCAACCACCTAACCAGCAATCAGCATCTTGCAACATTTGGAGGCTACATTCTTTTAGGAGATATTGGTCTAAAAAGTGCAAGAAATCCAAATGTCCAGGAAAACCCTAATTGCAACACAATGTTTTGTAGTAACATGTGAAGAAGAGTCAACTGTGGAACAATGTCACAGAGTTACCTAAAATTCCATCCATGGTGTGCAAGCACATTAACAAAATCCAAGAAGTATGCAGATCAGACCAGAGAGACAGTCTATTTCTAAGACAGCACAACATCTGATATTTTAATATGAGAGTACGCACCTCACTTTCACTCAGGATCTGAGTACAATGAAACCATTGTTCAATTATGTGTATGTAATCTTCAGTCATGTCAATAATGACAGTCAGACTATGTGCAAGCAATGTAAAAGAGTTAGTGTTATTAATAAACCTCAAGACACCTGTCTCAACAAGACCCAGTCTTTATGGCAGATGTTACATGAGCCAATATATAGGGCAGCTGTTAGACCATTTAATACCTGTAGTGATGTTTGACCCAAGAAATGAGTTCATTTGCCTACTCCTGATAACCTTTGACTCCCTGCTTAGTCATAAACCTACCTACATTTTCTTTAAAAATATTCAAGGACACTTACAAAGCGTTGTGAGAAAAACATTGTCCTATCATCCATCTAAATGCAAGATACTTTATTTTTCAACTGTATCCACCAGTGCTAGTCTCTTCCACAAATGGCAACAGCCTTTCAGCATCCACCCTGTCAAGTTCTGCCAGGAACTTACATCTCAAAAAGATCACCTCTTATTCTTATCAATTCCAAAGGATATAGGCCCAGCCTGCCCAAACTTCCCTCATAGGGTAACAAACTCATCCCTCATCGCAATGATGAGTCGAATAAGTCATTCAATGTCTGTTCATATTTCCTTTTTACCACATATTACCAATATTTCTGAATTTCAGCCCTAAGTTTAGTTGCAGTGATTGGGACACTGCTATCCCTTATGTGAAGGTTGGGCCTTTATAGCTTACATCTGAGTCCGAATGCAGCCAACATGATAAAGGTCAACTATAGGATTCTCTTTTGATCTATTGTATTCAAACTGCAAGACAAGTACTGTACAGCTCACATCTGTCTCCTTGACACTACCATTGTTGGCTTTGCAGATTTTGGTCTGAGGATAGTCTCAGGGATTAATTATTTTCTACTAGCTTCTACCTAACAAGAACCTTTTGATTCTGAAAATGGCTGCAAGCAATTCCTTTTCCGTCTGTGCGTCGTTGTGTTCACGCTTGGTGAGAGTACATGCCATGAGTGAAATGGGCCTTTCTTAACCTCATCCAAGACAGAACTGCTCCAGTTCAAAGCATTGCCTCCCATAACGTAGGCTGTGATCACCAGAGGAGTCACGAGACAAGATTTCAGAGTCACTGGTGCCAAGGCACCAATGGCTGCCATGGGGCACAGACTGCGCGCTTACAGCTGCGAGGTCCTTTTAAATCCTCAACCTTCTGTCTGTTGGTGGGCATGCTTAAACAGACAGATCTCTGAGGTCCACTTGCAGCTGCAAAAATAAAGCCCATTCAAAGGTTCTTCTTTATAAAGGATTCAATTGGCTTAAACAATTTCCTCCACACACAACCTCTTAACACCCATTGCTGCTCCGGAGCTAAAACACCATCGCTGTTCAGCAGCTGAGTCTACTCTCCTCACTACTGATCTCGCACAAAATCAGAGGCATTAAAATGGGGTTACATCTGGGAACAAAGTTTGAAATCACTGGTTTAAACCTCAGGTCACGATTTCAGGTTTAATAAACAAGCAATGCATCACTGATCAGGCTTCCAAGCAACATAAACATCTTGTTTTGGATTTGGGCCATTCCTATTTCGCATTTTCTGTATTATTTAAGGGATATATACTTCTCTGGTCTGTGTTGGCTACTACTGCCGTCTGTAAAGCACTGGGACAAATATCTCACTTTAGTGAGAGTGCTGTTTAAGAGTAGCTTCAATCTCCTCTTTGGTCCATGATAGGATATTTTCCAGATTTGTGGAGACACTTGCCTATATTTATTTGAACTTTTAAGGCTGTTGGGCTGATCCTAGACTTGCTGGTGTAACAAGCTCATCTTCCTCTTCAATTTTGTGGACTAATACTCAGCAGAAACTAAGAAAGCCAACACGAGGTATAGTCAGTTCACAGGACTACGTTTACTGCATCATTGTATACTGCAAATGTCCAAATATCATACCACATTAAGATATATCATATGGACCTAGCATTTGATCATCTGCCCTTGTACTTTCTCATGAGGCTCAGTATTATATTTTGTTGTGTACTGATCATATGAAGTATCTTGAGATGTTTCATTATGTTAAAGGCACTACATGACTATTTTTTTAATGAAAATAACATAATTTCAGCAATTCTGCAAAATGTCTTTGAAGTCCAGTCTTTACAAGGTACTAGGAAAAATAAACCTTTGTTATTTACCTTTAGGAATTATTTATCGTGCCTGTGCTCATTTTCATTCCTATTGAAAGAATGCACAAGCAGGTGAAGTTGAGCCTGAGTAGGCAGCGAGTTAAGTGGAATCAATCTTTCTTCCTCGCCCCCTTCACACACTGCACCACCTGGTGGCAGATTTGAATTTGATCCTTGCAGGATTCCGTACCATTTTTTTTAGAATAGTTATGTAGAGGTTCCAAGGCAAATGGTAACATTGTAACTAACCGCTGGGACTGAAGCCAGGGTTTCTACTCCGCACCGATACAATCTGTCCTCCTCTCGCTGGACAGTTCTTTATGGTCCCTCTCCTCAGCCTCAGCATGTAGAGGATTATTACAAGATTTTCTTTTTTTATACGCAATGTGTAAGATTTTATTTTCATGCTTTTGTCCATATTGTCCCCTCCCCCTCTCATTTCTAAATGTCTTGTGTCTTTGAGTGCCTTTTCTAGCGGCGGATGATAGCATTGGGTGTATATTTTTTTTGCACGCTGCAATTTCAATCCAGCTCATTTTGATCAACGAAGAGGTGAAGACAAACAAAGACAGAAGATTTATTCCTTGTAGGAGATGTATCGGTGCTACATTTTGCAGTGGGAAAACAGGTGAGTTGAATATTTTAAGACGTGTCTTGGTCCAGAAATATACGCAGATGCGATTTATTTAATTTATTAAAATTAAGGAAAGCAATACAGCCTTTAGGGTTCTTTTCCTCCTCTCCGGTTCTCGAATTTCTGAGGACCTGATGAGTTAATACTGGGTTGTCTCGCCATAGTATTTAGACAGCACTGATCCTGTTAAATGCTGCTCAATTTCCATCAAATCGGCTTCAGCTGTCAGTTTCGCTTGAGTGGTGTATTTGTTCATCTGTTTTTAGGCTGCTAAAATTGTTGCAATCAGTTAACTATTTTATTTACATTTTTGCAATACTCCATCCATTTTAGTTTATTTGCTGTAGCCAATTTTATTATTTCTAATTATGATTTGCACCTGTACGATGAATTTGAAGTCCCATAGCCGTGGTCCAATCATTTCCCAGTGTGTTAGACAGATCAGTTTTTTCCCCAACATTTTTTCGGCATTTTTCACATTTAAAATATTTTTAACTAGTATTTTAAAATGAAAAGTATAATTGGCTGCCTTCCTTGCATTTTTGTCTGCAAACATGTATGCTTAAGGATGCAAATACATTCATTTAATTTGTTGCCTCTAGCTACAAGTTCTACTTACAATATTGCTTTGTTCTTGGGTTTAAGTTGATCTTGGATGCATTCTGCATCTGCATGACATACTGATAATGTATATTATTTTAAAGTGATCATTGATACATTTATCAGACCATATCAAATGCCTGTACTGGCATTACGTTAATTTGCAGACTTGCTTGTGCCGCTAGCTAGTGTTTTGTTTTTACTTATTAACTCGGTCGCCACGTTGGCTTCCATAGCAACTGTCAAATTTTTCCTCGTGACATGTTAGAGGTGGAAAGCTAGGCTGTGCTTTTAAGGTTTAAGAGTATGAGGCAAGGGTGAGGGAAAGGTAAGTGACAAAATAGTTTTCCTCCCTTCCTTCCTTCCCCAGCTCCGTACTTGGAGGAGTCACCAATCTCTGAACAGTTGTTATTCTTAGTTATAGCCATCTAGTGCCATTCACGAGTCCGAGTGGATGGTGTTATTTTGTTCTCTTGCTGCCCTGCCCCTCATTCACCCTAACCCTGGCGTGGTACACCATCTAATGGTTAGGCTGAGAACTGATGCAGCTTGAGTTTCTTTGTTTTTGCTACGGTTTATATACTTTGAGTGAGATTTGTGACTGATCTGTATCAAGCAGTTGTGTTGTCCCATGTGAAGCTGTACTGTTGAGATAAAATAGTGCTCAAAAAGCAGCCTCAATAAGAAAATTGCCTCAATGCATTGTCTTGGAATTCTCGCATTAAACCACTGTCTTCTATTTGCAAGGTTTTTAAAGCTCTCCTTTGTTTGAGAGGTGAATGATCTGAAGATAACTCAATGCTTTCTGGAATTCATCCTCTATCTTCGTTCTTATTTCTCAATCTGCAACTCTCATTGCTCACTTAGCAGTGTACAAGGTATTCTTCACACGACATGGTTTTCAAGTTGGTTCTGGAACTGACAGAGGGGAAGAAAAAATCAATTGTAGTGATGTCCTCCATTAACTGCAATCTAAGACTCTCTGTTAGTTGCCTTCATTGAACACTTCAAGCTGCTTAATTGAGGGCTTGTACATCCTAAGAGAGGGAGTACCCATTTAATTCCATATGTATCTCATCTTTCCCACAATAAAGTCAGTGTTATAAATGATCCGCTTCAATTCACCCGATGATTATAATTGCCTCACAAAGTCAAGGGAAAGACAAACTGTCAGAAGGTCCTTAATTGGACATATGAGATAACTGAAGCCGTAGTTCTAATTAACAACATTTTTGACTGAAGAATATAACAAACCTTTTTCAAATGAAGTGCAACAGAAAACAATAGCGTGCAGTTCCAATAAAACATCCGTTCACCTTCTAATTCCCTTTGAGAGAGCAGAACTTGAGACAGTAAGTAGAAGTTTGCTTGTTTTCGCCATAACCCTACTGGAGTCGTTGGCATATTCTGGTTTTTGTCAAACCTCCCTCAGTCCATGTCTCAACATAATCCAGCTGTTCAACTTTTTTTTTTCTTTATCTTCGGTTTATACTCTGAATTTTTCCTTCAATTATTGACAGTAGAAAACTGTCGGGTGTTTGTTTCAAATATCTGTACTTGACTGTTTTTCTCCCTTCAACAGTACTTAGCAACCTGGTTTGATTCCTGAACTTCAACTCTTGAAGTTCTAAAGCTTCAACACAAAGCAGAGTGAACATCTAGCCCAGTCACTCGTGTGGGGTATTGCACCTCTCTGGATGTGAGAATTGGGCTCTGTAGAAAATGGATGAGAAGAAGATAAGATCCTTTCAAATGTCAGCCTGACAGACTATGTTCAGAATCAGAAATTGCTGGAGAAACTCAGCAGATCTGGCAGCATCTGTGGAAAGTAAGCAGTGTTAACATTTTGGGTCCAGAGACTGTACTTTGGAACAGTTCTGAAGAAGGGTCATTGGACGCAAAACATTAACGCTGCTTAGTTTCCACAGATGCTGCCAGAGGTGCTGTGTTTCTCCAGCATTTTCTGTTTTTGCTTTAGATTTCCGACATCCACAGTTCTTTGTTTAATTTATTATTGTGTTCATAATTAGCTGGACGGACAGAAAGACATTAGTGGATTTAATCAAGAAGGAGTCAAATGGAAGAAAGTGGGGTAGTTTTACATGAAATTTCTAGTATTTGAATATCACCTTCAAATATACTGGTCAGTTATTTTGTACATGTTTTGTAACTGCTGCTACGTTATTCGTGTACTGATAATTTTGTGACTTTGCCAGTATTATTTGAGTTGGGCAGATCTACTGTGTTGCTTGAGATAAGTTGGGCTTCATAACACGGATGCTAGTGTCATCACAACCACTGACTTGTCAATACATACGCTGCTGTACGATCTTGCAGTTCTGAGATTATGTCCCATGGTTAAACACCGCTCCAAGCTGAAACCTCAAGATCTGGGAATATAGAGAGTGTTGCCCTAGGGTCTTGGGAACACTAAAGAGAAAGTTTATAGTAACACTGAGAAAAGTCCTAGGATCAAGAATTACTTCTGACGGAATCTGATATCTTGGACATTGGGATGGGAAGCACACAGGAGGTGATTTGAGCCCATTGCTGGTTCACTGCAGAGCAGTCCACTATGTCCTATTCCCAAACTTTATCTCCTTAGCCCTGGTCTCCAATATCCATCCAATTTCACTTGAAATCCTTGATCATTCCATTGTTACCAGTCCTGCAGATGACGAGCTCCAGGATGGTATCTTTGTGTATTAAAAAAAACAACCTCTTTTTCTGATCCCTGCCCTTCTACCTCTTGTCCAAAACTTTTTAGATCTGTGACCTCTTGTTCTTGTGTCATTAGCTAAAGGAAACAGCTTTTTCTTTTCCTACCTTATTTTAACCTGTCAAAATCTTGTTTATCTCTACCCAGTCTTTTCTGTTTCCTCTTCTCTAAGAAGGTGGAGGATGTTGGGACTGGTCTGCTTTCAGAGAGTATGGGGAATATGATAAAGAGGTTTTATGGCTAGATTGACCCTCTCCTTGAATGAGAAGTGATCTTATTAAAACATTTTTGATTCCAAGGGGTCTTGATATTGTAAATGTTGGGAGAATGTTACCCCATGCGGAGGATTCTAGGACTGGGGAATATGGCTTAAAAATAGAAGGACTCTCTTTCATGATGGAAAGAGGGAGAATTTCCTCTGAAGGTCTTTAACCTTTTGAAAAACTCTTCACCAGCAAGTAATGGAGGCTGGGTCATTGAATATGTTGAAGAACTGAATTTCACAGAGTTTTGATTGAAAAGGAAGATTTGAGGATCGTGGAGGCAGGTAGGAAGGTGGAGTTAAGGTGAAAATCAGATCGGCCGTAATCTTACTCACCTCTTCAGTATTGGAACAGGCAGATGGGCTGAATTAAAAGCTGATGTTCCTATTTCATACGGCCTTATCATATGATCATGGATGAGAGGGTTTTGTTTAAATGGAACAGATGTAGAATATTCCTGTTCTGAGTATTTTGAAATCTAGAGGCAGGTGAGGGAAATTCTTTGGCACTTAAAGATTTGAATTGGGTCTTCTAGTAATGGAGGATACAGGCCCCCAAATTCTTTGTCATGTCAGGTCTGGGAAAATGGGACCTAAGATGGTGTTGGTCCATTTTGAAACACTGTGCCCTTTACCGCCACATTAGATAGTTGCCAAAATTAATACATTTCTGTCAACACATCAGCTCAATGCTCATGGTTTTCAATGTATAAAAAAAGTTAAGCTCAAAAATGTTTTGAGATTTTTGTTTCTGTAACATATTCAATTAAAATGAAAATTGCATGAAAATATTTATAGTCTATGGATGGAGTTAGGAAGGTTGCAATTATTGCGCAGTGCTGGTGCACTTAAATCATTGCAGCCTTGATTTTTTTTTGTACCCTTGCAATGGTGTTACGTAGGAGTTTGATCTGGCAACAATAAAGGAGCAGTGATATATTACCCATCCAGTATGTTGCATGACTCGAATGGGAATTTAGAGGTGAGCGTGTTCACAGATCATTGCACCTTTTGTTCTGTTCAGTGCCACAGGTCATGTGAAGTGAGGTGCTATTATAGTAACTTTGGTGAGATTCTGTAGATGTTCCTGCATACAGGAAGATGTAGAGTGCTGGTGATCAATGGAGCAGATGGTGAATTCACTAACATGAGAGCAGAGTAGGTAAATAGGTGTCAAGGACAGTCAGGAGGTGATAATCGGCTTTCCGTTGTTTGAGAATGGGCATTACTTACCATTTTTGTGGCAGGAACTTTTCATTTGTTAGCCCAAGTAGTAGACGTTATCCAGGTCCTGTTGTGAGCTAGCATGGGCCATTTCATTATCTGATGAGTGGTGAATAAAACTGATCACCAGCGAGCAACCCCATTTCTGATTTTAACGGATGGAAGGTCATTGAAGTAGCTGGACCCTGC